GTGTGTGAGCGTACCATGTGCCTTTAAAGGCGTATGCCCTTCGGTACATCAAGTGAGGTATTGCACGCCTCAGGGCTGAGCCAGCAAGAAGAGCGTAAATTTTTACGAGACGAGCACCCCAGGCAGGAGGCAAAACGTTGTCAAAGGCCTAAGGCACAGTAATTTGGCACTTGGTCCGAAATGATAGCAGGGGTGTTATACAGTGGAGAAAACAGTGAAAAAGCGAATTAAAACAGTAACTACCTGCAAAACTATTTTGTTCAACATGACTCAGAAAGCAATTCTGGACAAGTTCCGTGTTGGCTTCGTGCCAGTAACCGCTATGTTATATGCGGCTACATGTGCCGTAATCATACACTCTAGTTCACTGTGGATGAATGGTGGTTCCAGGGAGTGAGAGTGTAAACGCTAAACCCCTTGTAAGTTGTTCAAGCGGGATTCGACAACAATTGGTAGAAACGAGTGATACGGCCGACAGTATACAGTCTTGTCACTTGCTCGGTTCAACGGCTGGTGGAGAACGAGTTTGCGCAAGACCCATCTTGCGTGACACGCCCCTTCGTTCGCAGCGATTTAGATTACATATACATACCTTTTCCACTTTCAATTCACGAACTTTTCACAGAAAATTCACGACTTGCAAACCGAATTATTTATTTGTTTAATTTCATGCACTCAAGGTGTGCACACAAAAATATCTAAAAATAAAACTGTAAAAAGGACTATGGCGAAAACTGCAAATGGGCTTGATGCACTGAGCAAAAATGAACTTGACATCACACATAATAAGTCGAAGAGTTCTGAAATTCTAAGTAATCCTTTTCTTGACACAGTGGTAAGCCAAATGTTTCAGTTCACATGATCAGCAAATTTTTTTGAACCAGTTCACCTAAAGGACGCAGAGACATTCATTTAATATTTTATTTTTGTTACTTATTCATGCTCTACAGACTTTTCTTTGCAATGCGCTTAACTGCTTCGTTGTTGCGAAAGGGGTAGAGAGAATCGGAGAGACATTGAACGCCATCGTTACTGCAACCGAAAACCACGTGCCCTATTTCACGACTTATCAAAGCAACGCACGACTTTTTTAACCGAATTGAGGCTTAATAGAGCGTTTTGCTTTTACTGGACTCTAATGCAAGTCTCGCCCTTCTGCCATGCCCACATTTCAGCGTAGTCGTGATTTTTCAAGCTTTATTTTATACGTTCTACTTTCGCTCCTTTTTTACACTTTGGTCACTTCACACAACACACTAGCTGGAACGGACTGTGTATAGGTACATGGTCAACTCCGCCTACTTTGCAAAATATCTGAAATATTCCTTGCAAACTCCGACTTTGCATAACGTTTTAGCGTCGAGCGTCGATGTTTTCACTCCGCTCATCATACAACGAAGGCACAAACCCAGAGAGCCAAGTCCGGACACTGCAGGCACTTCGGTGGAGTTTCCCATCACCGTAGGGGTACACCAAGGCTCCGCTCTCTCCCCACTCCTTTTTGTTGTCGTCATGGATGCCATCACACGAGACCTCCAGAAAGAAATTCCGTGGACGCTTCTTTGACGTAATGACGTGATGCTTGCATGCGAGGATAAGAGTACGCTAGAGCAACAGGTGCAAGCTTGAGCTGACCGTTTGGCGAAGTTTGGGGTCAGGTTGGGCGTCGAAAAGACCGAATACTTGACAATCCAAGCTAGACGGGTTCCAGCAAAATCGATGGCACTGAGCTTGCGCGTGCAAAAACATCCAAATATCTCGGATCAGTATTTCTTCCAATGGAGGTCTTAGCTCGGAAGTGAACGCACGTGTGAGCGCAACATGGCCGAAGTGGCGATCCATGCCTGGGATTCTTCGCACAAGAAGATGCCAGAGCGCCTTAAGTCGAAGGCCTACAGAGGGGTCGTTCGACCAGTCGCTCTATACGGTGGTGAGTGCCCCATACGACCAAAGAAGCCTGCAAAGCCTTGGAGCGCAATTGTAACGACATAGTGCGCTTCGGTATAGCTCCTATAGCTGATAAAATGCGGAAAACGCGCAAACTCGATGGTATGGCCATGTACTTCGCGCAAAGGCTGACACCGTCTGTAAGACTGGCCTTCAGCTTGAGGTGCCCGGAAAGCGACCCAAGGGACGTCCCAAGCAGCGCTGGCTCGATACGTTGCATACAGACTTGAAAGTGGCTGGAATCCACCCTGACCAAGCATTTAATAGGGAGAAATGGCGTCATCACATCAGAAAAGCGAACATTGCCTCAAGCGGGACAAATGCTAAAGAAAAAGAAGAAGAACAAGAAAAGGCTGTGTGACTATCAAGCAGCGATCCCGTTTATAGTAATCTTGGATATTCTTTTTGCCATTCCGTTCTTTGGATTCCTGTCAACTATTGGTTCCAAACCTAACATCCTACTTGATGGCGAGAATTGTCTTCAATGTGGATTTCAGGCCAGCCTGGCCATATAAATGTGTGATCCACGCTATAGGCACCGTGGTGACCAGCCCACAACAATCGCCTGCTCATACTTAGCTTGCAAGATACAGGTGGCAATTTTGGTATCCACATTTGTGAATACCAGACCAGATTCCATCTATATGCCTGAAAATCCATTCTCAGTTCCATGACTTGATGGAATTCGTTTACGAGCGCCCACCTTTTTAAACTAGCGACTTACGCGGATGACTCAACTTCGGTTTTAGCGTTTGCTGTCAAGACAGAAAACATTCTGCCTTTTGATATTTGAGCCAGTGGTTGCAGTTTAGGGTGAGGAGTGTGAAGAGGCGAGGCAGATGCTGTCTCTTAGGCTGCTTTCACACTTTACAGCAGCATACACCGGCAATCACCAACGTTCCGAGCGTCCGCTTGCGACTAGGAAGCTATAAATATCGATCAGCGAGCAAAAGCGTACGCGAGCGCAGGGCTCAACATGGTTGAGAATTCCCAAATAGTGCAGGTCGTAGTTGACCTGAGGTGGGAGGGGGGGGCATAATGCGTGGGCTAGTCAGTCTGGAAAGCGCAAACAGTGTTAGTAATACTGAGCCCGGGGTAGCGAAACTTGCTTTGTAGAGAACCAGATGAATGAAACACTAAAATAAACACGAAAAACACGAAACACGAAAATAGGAATGATTAACTAGAAACATTGATAAGTCGACATAAGTGTGTGAATACCCAGATGACTCAACTCTACTGAGAATGGTTCGCTGTGAATAATGGAACGGTGCTCGCAGCAGCGCTTGTTGCGCCGCAACCGATTTTTCTGCAGCGATAGGACCATCATATCGTTTTATTAGCACTTATGTTCAAAATCGAATCGAAACTCAATCTTACCTAACGTTAAACAGAGGATCGTCAGAATAGGTAGAAAGTTCTCCGGTCAGAACTTTGCTAGAAGAATAAAAAGAAATCGACGAAAGAGCCAAATGTTTACCACTTGTAGGGGTCCTCTGCCTTGGGTAACTCACCATTAACTCGATAAAATTAAATTCAGTGGCGGATGACGCTAGGGAAAACGTCACTCCTAGACGAGAACCAAGCATGGAATCGGAAACTGAATTTTCGGATGTTAGGTATTCCCTATCCCTAACAACTCAGTTTCGGACCCGCCACATTTGTTCACAACAAGCCTCTCTGACTGACAGCGCCCCTAAGTGTAGGTTCTTAGCGGTAAATGACAATCATACCAACCGGAGATCCCCCTACCCATAATGCAAGCTTAGTTTAAGTAAGATGTAGTTTTCTGCAAGACGGTAGAGACAAAACAAACATAGGAAACAAAAAGTAACAAAATCATAAGCATAAAGAATACCGCAGTTATCGTGTACAGATAACTGCGGTATTCTTGTGCGGCGGCGCTCGACTGGGCTCTGGTTTTCATCGTGTTGAGTTGGTATAACCGTGAGTTCCTTCAATCTATCTGTAGTATTAGGTAACAAATCTTAATATCTGCTTGATCGATCGAGTACCATTCTGACTCTTTCCTTTCGCTGTCTAGGTTACTTGCTTTCTTATTTATATCACTGGCAATTGCCTGGAATGGCAGTTGTCATCATCGATTGATCTGGGAGTATTTTGATTTGATTTTATTTGTTCTACGCTTCAGTCAGAGTGCTTCTGCGCGCATTGCATTTTTCTTTTGCAATGGCAGGAAAACGAAATACCCAAAATTCAAAAACGCTTCACAAAAATCGGTAGGAGTTTCTGATGTAGGGTAGTTTGGACTATCGCAATTGTTCTGTCAATGAGCTTCTCAGTGCTATGCTCGAAATGAAGTTCAGATCCAAGGATGCATGAAATGATTTCGGCGTTACAAGAAAAATTAGTCCAAACCGTTTCCAGTACCCTAGAAGAAGATCGGAAAGGTCGTAGTGTGGTTATAGCTGGGTTACCAGAAGAACCTCGCAAACTACCAGCATCGCGACGACAAGCAGAACTGGAGGATAAGGTTGGAGGTATTTTAGACATTCTAGATATTGAATCCGTCTTTAGGATGGGAACATTCTTCAGATTCGAAAACTAGGTTAGTTAAAGTTCTCTTACCGTCTAAGTCCCACTGGTCAAAGTTCTTGCTAATGCACGTTTGCTGCGTCGATCCACAATGTCTGATGTGTTTATAAGGTGCAGTATGTCAACTGAAGAGCGGGCATGGACTACAAACTGAGGCAGCAGGCTAGGGAGTTGAATAAAACTGCAGGATTCAAAGAATGGGTAGTTTATAAAAGTGAACTTAAAAAGACCAGCGAGCTGCCCTCTAACAGAATGGTGGGAAACCGGCAGTGATGCATGGGTACTGCACCCCTTGCGTTGTTTCTTATTCAATTCGCGCAGTTTGGTTAACAAACTATCTCTTTTGCATGCGTTCGTTGCAATTAATGATCCTGATTTATTATTTGTCACAGAAACTTGGGACAAGAAAACTCTGATGCAGAAGTATTGGGTGGCCTTAACTATAAGCTAATTCGAAGCGATCGAGGTTGCCAAAGAGGAGGGGGAGTATGTTGCTTGGTTCGAGATCTGCGATTGCAAGTAAAATCGAACCATCTTAAACAGTCTTTTTCCGACGTGCTCGCTCGATATCACTTCGGAGTTTTCTACTAAGCCATTGCGGCTAGCTGTTGTTTATCGGCCACCACAGTTCCAAGGCTAATGATGATAATGAGTTAATTGATTCTCTCTATGACATATGTGGAATTCATGGTTCACTCCAATACATCTGCGGCACTTCTCTAGTGTTGCGGAGGTCACCCATGGGTAGCTAACCTAGGATGACAGTACTCTAAATCTGGAGACCTCCAACATTGAGCAGCTCCGACAGCGTCGCCACGGTCTAGGACATCATCTTCACCACAGTCGCCAAGGCGCGGGATGGTATGGACCGGACGCACCTGGAATGGAAAGACCAATATTTTCTTCGTGGACCCCGGGCTGAAGCTGAGCGCTGGCACATTGCGATTTGACCGAACTCAAAGAAGAATATCTTCCCCACATGTCGTCCCTCGTACCTTCTTGGAAACTTTGTACTGCTACAGCACGTGGAATCGAAGGGCGTTGGAGAAACTCTCGTACCTACCTGTAATGGAAGGAAGCTGAGTACCTAAAGAAGGATGATATCCAAGTAAGCCGTCCACGTTACCTGAATCCTCTCAATTACCCGGCTCGGGCGGTGTTCAATAGGGTGGTCTACGGTGGCGGAGAAATCGACTATCTCGCTGATCTCAGGGACCACATCGCGGTTGCGTGCCAGAATCTCTCGATGGCGCTCCTCCAGAAGGCTGTGGCGGAGTGCCATAATAGTATTTAATATGCTCTTTAATATGGTGGTAGAAATGTCCGATCAGAATTTATAAAGTGTAACTTATAGCGCCTCGAAAGTCAATGAAGCAAAGTGACTTTTTTTTGCCCCCCCCCCTGTATATCAAGAACGGCAGTGGCGAAAGTGCTTCTCGTTGTGGCACACCATCCGAACGTAAGTGGCGACCGGAATACTGATTGCCGACCCCAACCTTCATATACCTCTCTTTAAAATACGATTCCAACCATTCTATTAATACGACCTTGTATACCGATCAACTTGAGTTTGCTAATATGCTTATTGTGACAAACTTTGTCGAACGCTTTGGTTAAGTCAAAATATATGATATGCAATCGACTTGCCACTGTTGAAGCCGGTTACCCAATCTTACATCGAACCACACATGAATGTTATAGTTGACGCTCCTGGCAAAAAACCATGTTGTTGTGATGGTATGACCCCCTTTTGATTAGCCACTCAGTTAGTTTTTTAGAAATGATCTTTTCCATAATTTTCCCAGAACACTGCAGACGCTTATGGGCCTAAAATGTGAGACCTTGGTAGCACAAGGAACTTTTGGAATTGGGGGTTATAAGAACATCTTTCCAAATACTAGGCACTTCACCGAATAATGGAGAGGCATTAAGTATGAATGTTACAGGATGCTGATGGGCAAAACAGCATTTTTGAAAACATATTGTGGTATACCACCATAGGTAATAGAGCAGGACACTTTCAGTTGTTTTAGAATTCGCAGAGCCATCATATGGTTGGATAACAGTCCGAAAAAACATTAACCTCGCTGTGATCGGCTATCTGGTAGTTGGTCTGAAGCTGGGATGGTCTAGGTAAACACACTGGCGAAGTGATGCCCCAAAGCTGTCGCTATCTTTCGGTCGGAGTTCATGGCCTGATTCTCATCGGTCACAATGCATGTAGGCTTGGTAGCGGCGTTAACTTTCCCTCTCATATATTTGAAGAAAGAGGAATCTTTCTGATCCATTAGTCTACGCTCGCGATAGGCAAGGTATTTTTTGACCCAAAAACTAATGTTAGAACACACTATTTTGTAAACTGGTGTTCAGAGGATTACTTGACCTCGAAACAAGCGAATTTTTTGGTCAACCAGATTCCTGATATGGGTAGGATATTGATGATGTTTCCCTCTACTAGAGCGGAAAGGCCAAAACTAGAGAAGAGGTCATAGAGAACCAAATAAAATTTGTAATAAAGATCTGCAGCTTAACTGTGGTTATTGAATATCAGATTTCAATCTACCGCGTTAAGACAGTCACTGAGCTTCCGATAATCAACGCGGCTAAACACAGGTTCAGGTGGGAAAGAACTCTCTTCTTTTATGCAGTCAGTTTCAAGCTTCACAATATTCATGCGTTGGAGTTCCCAGCAGAATGTCAATATTTCCAATCGTAGTTCCAGAAGATAAGATCAAGTCCAAAACGGATTCCCCGCAAGTAAAGGACTTAAATCATTGTTTGAGCTCGCAGCACTTGAAGGCTTGTTTGAATCGGAAATCGGCTCCCTTGACTCCTTTTTCATTTTTCCAATCAGTGCCCAAGTTTAAAACACCAGTGACAATTATGGGGTTAGTTGTGGAAC